GGTTTGAAATGTTCTTTTGGAATCCGCTGTCAGATTTAATATTGGTGTAGGATTAAAATTTTATCCACATCCCTGCGTAATAGGAAGCCCCTCTAAACAGCAACTCTAAAGTTTGATAATAAGTCACCTTATTTGCTGCCACGAGCACTTTGTCCAGAAATCGAAGCCACTCGAAGATGAACACGGGCCTTTTGGCTTCGGTGATCTGWGCCAAAGCGTCTTCGTTGAGCAGCAGACTGTGAGCCAGCTCCATGATGGCGAGGATCCGTCAGCAGCCTCKTCCCTGAAATGTTAAATTAGTAAAACAGTCAAGTCGCTGAACGTTAGCTTCAGCTGAGACCTGGCGACATTTATCAAGCTCGAGAAGTCAGAAACACGATGCTTCAAACATATGTTGCAGAAGTTTCAGAGGAGTAAAACCATAACGCTTTATTATAAATTTAACAATCGGTTATTTTTTTTTTTTTTGTGTTGACAGCCGCCGTCTACATCCAGCTGTTCGGTTAGCTTCTCTAGCTAGTTCCTCCAGGAACAAGCTAAAGTCTCGCGACACTTTCATTCACAAGAAAATAAAAACAGCCTTTAGCTTTATGGTTTAGTTTCTTACAGTTTGCGCCTATCCTACAAAACACAAAGGCAGCAATATCTTCAAGTCATAAGTCGTGAAAAGAAATTACTCGTCCTGCCTGTGCTGCGTTCCGATGACCCGGGAGGATGAATGACGACAGGAAGCCAGGGTGTCACTTTGTAATGTTTCCGACACAAAACTATCGGAAACATAACTATTTACTTTTAGCTTTAAAAAGTAACGTCGTCTCACAATATTAATCACGGACTTTGAGAAATACATTTAATATTATATTTAAATAACTCACGTGTTATCAATGACAAATTGCATTTATTATAGATTTTGAATGCAGCGGAAAACTTGTTTACAGTTGACCTCGCAGCTACTCGGAATGAATATGTGAGCGGACCAAACAAAAGAGGAGCAAACAGCTTTGTTTTATTACATTTACTTACTTTCTGTGTCCACGATGTCTGATGAAGAGGAGGACTATATGTCTGATGCGTTCCTCAATAAAATGTGAGCGTTTTAAGTTTGAATTAAAGCAACTAAAGCAGCTAATTTAAAACTAATTTTAACTACATTTTAAGCTAATGGAAAACTAAGCGTTTTAAAATCAGCGTTACTTTTTAAACTCAAGTTAACATAGTATAACATAATATCAATTAGTTTGTTTATTCTTCTTTGTTTTTTATATAGTTTTATTTGATTTTGTCTAGTTTTTAATCTTGATTCTTATATAATGTTTAGAGTTTTTGAGCACCTGGTCACTTTTATAATCGTGCCCACTGTGTGTCCAGGTCATATGTCTTGTGTTTTTCTAGGAACGAAGCTGACTCATTTTCACTGTAATCAAATTTACCTGCGGGTGCAAATAAAGTTGATGGATTGATTAATTAATTGATTGGTTGTTGTTGTTTTTTTTTGTCTCGACATAGTCAAGATGTGAAGCCAGGAGTCAGCATGGTGAGGAGGGTAAAGGAGGCGATGAAAAGAGAGGAAAAACACAAAGAAAAGAACATCCAGAACCGTCAGAAAACCTTCAAGGAGCAGGAGAACGAAAGCCGAGAAACAGCCCTGCAGACCTCCATCAGCAATGAGAACAAGGGCTTTGCACTTCTTCAGAAAATGGGCTACAAAGCTGGTCAAGGCCTTGGAAAGGAGGGTAAGTTTTTCTCTCTGTGTTAAGCCCATGTTGAAAGTGTTTTTTTTTTTTTTTGCACCTAAATGATCAATAATTATTGTTGTTGCCTCATCAGGAGCAGGAAGGGTTGACCCAATTCCACTCAATATTAAAGCAAGTAGGTGACACAGTTATTTGACATTACTGTGTTCAGTATACATGAGTTAGCTCAGCTTTTTCATGATAATCTAACAGACAGAGAGGGCTTTGGAATGGAAGAGCTGAAGAAAAGAAAAGCTGAGGAGGAACTCAACGACTATCGTCAGAAAGTTCGAGCCAAACAACAGAACGAGGCCAAGTCCCTGGAGGATTTTAGGTGATATTTATAGCTTCCTATGAGATACACAGAGCCTCTAAAGATTTAAGTTTRTCCTCATAAAAACAAACATTTTAYTGTCTGTGTTAATGTTTCGCWTCAGGTCAAGAGTGAGGACGGAGAGAGACGAGCGAAAGGTTGAAGCCGACCTGAGGAGGAGTCAGAGATCCTGCGAGCAGCTGGACAGTCAGAAGGTTGGAAGCGTTTCATTTCACGGTAACGCAGAAATAAAAAAACATCTGCAGCTCAAAACTGAGGGATCTTTTTTATTTCAGGGGATCGCTGAACCCAGAGAGGCCTGGTACTGGCCCAAAGTCGATGCTAAAGATGAGGACGATGATGCTGAAGAAGAGGACGACGACGAAGAGGAGGAGGAGATCATGGAACTAACTGTTAGTGTTCGCTTTAGATTTTCTTCTTGMAAACTCCTCCTGGAGAGAGGTGCAAACCTTTTTATCTACTTTAGGAGACGAGCGCATAGAGACTGAGCTCAACGGAGCTGTCCGGGAGGTTTTATACAAACTGGCTGCTTACGGCGCACTTATAAAGAGTGCCACAACAAATCAAAACAAAAAGTCAGACTACCGGACGATAGAACCTGTTACATTAATGCGAATCATGTTTGCACTGGTAATACAGTTGTTACAAGGTTCACATGAAGCAGACATTGTAATAAATTATCTTATAGAACTAAATCATCATTAATGTCATATTGAAGTATATTTGATTTTTGCCTTTTCTCTTGCAGCCCTTTGACAAACTGCAAATTCTAACATCCTATTTGAGAGGAATCCATTTTTACTGCCTTTGGTGYGGGACTGCTTATAACGGTGAGAGTGGCAGAAACATTAAAGTGTTTATGCCTTTTTTTTTAGAGGTTTTCCTAATGTTTATTTATTTACTTCCCCCTCAGATGAAGAGGATCTGTGCTCTAACTGTCCTGGAGACACGGCAGCAGATCACGAATGACACAGACAGAAAAAAAAGAAAGTTCTGTTAAAGTCAGACTCAGCAGGTTTTCTTATACTCAGAATTCAACACAAGAAATTAAATAATGTTATTTGAACATTTTTTTTCCATCACAAATAATGTCACTGTTTCTGTTTGTGGGTGTGTTTCAGTTTGTTATGTTTTTAAAATGTGTGCAACTGAAATTACATTGACATATTTATATTTTGACAACACGTGACATCATGTTACACAATATTTAAGTTTCAAAAATGTAACATTTTTATTTGTTCAATGCTGACTTTGATTCCACTGTGCTCAACAGTGTGAGTTTTATGTAAAAATACTGTTGTGAAATGCGTTTAAGATAAAAAAAAGGACATTTTTTAAGAACAGGTTGGTGTAATAACTACAGTTCCCATCAGCCTTTGCCTGCAGGAAAGCGGCAATAATAATAATAATAATAATAATAATAATAATAATAATAATAATAATAATAATAATAATAATAATAATAATAATAATAATAATAATAATAATAATAATAATAATAATAATAATCTTTAAGCAATACTAACTGGTGTTGAATATTATTGTTGAATCCCATTTTTCTTTATTTTGAATAAAATTATATTTTTAGTCATAATTATGACTCAGCATCTTCTTGTTATGAGATGCTAAGTAATAAATTTGATAAACTAACTCATCTTATAAATAGGAAAAGCTGGAGCTTAATATTGAGATGCTACGTCATAATTCTGAGTAAGTCTCAATTTTGATGTCACTTTGAAATCCCAAATCTTTGAAATTATATGTGCTAATATTAAGATAATTCATATTTTGAAATGCTGAGTCACAGTATGAGATACCATAAGAAGGTATTTTCTCAAATTACCGATGAAAATCTGATTGTTTCTAGAAAACAAGAGCATCATTTTATTATACAGTAAACAATCGAGGAACTCACTATTTATTAATTTGCGAAGCCTGTTTCTGGTTGTTGTTTTTGTTTGTTTTTCATCGATTTACCGACAGCTATGAATATTTCCGAGTGCATTTGAAGGCATCACCAGACGTTTACGTCGAAATCGAAACTTACGGACATGGAAGCGGAAATGCTAACTTGTGTGTTCGAGAGTCTCTTTTTTTCCCCCCAGAATTTCATATTTAATTAAGAATTAAGGTTTATTATGATGGCGTCAGAAAACTATGTAGATCAGCTGAATCGCTATTCGCACCAAACTGGGGAAACTGTGTCATACGAGGAAGTTGGATGTGTTGGCCCGGACCACAGTAGAACGTGAGTTGAAATGGGATTTGGGTTTTCTGTCGAAATCAGTACAGATGTGTCACAGTATATTTATATATTTAAGATCAGTGCCTGCCATATGTGGACCTAATACAGTCAGTAGGACGATAAGTTATTGATCTGCAGATTTTTATCAGTTCATGATCTTGATCACGGAGAAAAACCCAGACCAGTTCTGGGTCTGCCCAGGGTCTCCTCCCAGTTAATCCTAACCCTAATCCAGGGGGTATCCTTTACCAGATGAACCACCACCTCAACTGGCTCCTGTCGATGAGGAGGAGCAGTGTCTCCAAAGATAACTGAACTTCTTGCCCTATTTCTAAGGTTTAGTCCTGCCACCCTGCAGAAAAAGCTCATTTCATTCACTCAGATCTGCACTCTGGTTCATTTGGTTTTCTACCCACTGCTCTAGAGATGGTTTTCTCTAGAGCAGTGTTTCCCAAAGTTGGGGTCGGGACCCAAAGTGGGGTCCCGAAACATCAAGATGGGGTCCTGAAAAGATTTTCTGAATTAATTACATTTTTTGCCTTAGTTGTTAAAAAGGAGAGAGGTTAGTATGTTTAAAATGTATAAATGTAGTATAAAAATATTGTTACTATGCCCATGTTTTGTTGACCTGATACAAATGTTTATCATCCAAAAATACTTGTGGGCACAGGTCTCTGCTACTGTTACTTTGTGGGTCCAAAGCTGAAAAGTTTGGGAACCACTGCACTTTGGTTCCCAAAGTTGGGCTTGKGACCCAATTATGGGTCATGAAGCACCTTGGATAATCTCCAGAAATCAATTTAAAGGGTAATAAAATAATTGACGATGTAATATTTCCTTATTATTATTAGAAAAACACAAAATAAGTATAAATAAGTATTTATATTTGTGTAYAAGSTGTTTAGATYGTCAAAAAKCCTGTGTTTTTAGGGTTATTAACRAAGTTYRTGTACTCAGACCAGTAATATTTGGGGTCACAAGTTTTTGCCATGGATATTTTGTGGGTCAGAAGATAAAAAGTTTGGGAACCACTGCTCTAGAGCATCARGATTTGGAAGCTGCACCGATCTGTCTGTCAATCAATCACATGTTGCATCACAATCAAAAAAACAAAACAAAACAAGTAGGTCCTCTGGATGGGTTCTTCTTTAGTGAAACGTTTCGTCTCTCCTCCAAGAGACTTCTTCAGTCTGATGAGTTTCAGGTTGCATCACAATACTCAGGAGAACAGAAGATTGGTGTTCTGGAGCTGGCTCTTTTAAATTATTTTGCAGATTCAAGTTAAGAGTGGTCATCAAAGGACAGGCCTACCCTGAAGGTGTGGGGAAGAACAAGAAAGAAGCTAAACAGAATGCTGCTAAAAATGCCTGTGAATGCCTGTTTGATAAGCCTGCTGATTCCGTAAGCCTAAATCATTTTGTTCTATTACTGCGTGCCTTAAATAGTTGCATTAACGAACCATTTGCTTGTTCTTCTTTTCTCAACAGGCAGAATATTCAGCCAAAGCTTCTCCCGCTCTAGTACAACTAAAAGCCTCCAACTACACAAGCTGGCTTAATCTACACAGCCAGGGAAACGGGGTGACCATCAGACCCGAGGAGACGACCTCAATTGGACCAGTTTAYGCAACTCAGTAAGTCTCCTTGATTGTTTTATAGTTTAACATCAGAAATTAATGTAACTGTTGGTTTTGTTGTTAGCTGGTGTAAGTTTGTGGTTGGTGATAAGGAATATCCAGCGGCTTCAGGAAGAACTAAGAAAGAAGCTAAAGAGGAAGCTGCCAAGCTGGTGTACCAGGAGATGATGGGCAGCAACACTTTAGATGTAAGGAAGGACTCACTGTTTTTCATTTAAGTGACGTTTAAAGTTAGATAAATGTTTGTTCATGAGTGCAGTGATATTGTTTCTGTTTGTTTGAGACTGGAGATGATACAGACAGCGGCACATCGAGTCTACGAAGTGAGGATTTGGAGAAAGATGCATCGAATATTTGGTGAGTCCAAATAGTCTGTGGTGTAAAAACACGTTTACTCTTTTAATTCAGATCAGTTTAGTTTATTTATATAGCACTGATTCACAAAAACTGAACAAACAAACAAGTTCAAATTATAAATAAAAAAGTTATTTATCTATGGAAGCCAGCAGATTGTGCTGCATCTCCACTTTACCATTCTGAGCTAAACTTGGTGASAGTGGGAGAGAATGACTTCCTTAAAAAGTGAAACCACCTTGACCGGCTGGGGTCTGAGAGGGCAGGAAAGAGACACAGACAAACAGGAAGTGGTGCAGGTGTAGTTTCTGTGGGAAGAAAAACAAATTAATGACAGCAATAATTATAAATGCAAACAGTCAAGCAAGTAAAGACCAGCAGAGTGTGGACATGTGGTCAGTTTGTTCTTCTATAACAGAACTAAAGAATACCTTAGGAAACCCAAACTATAGGATTTATGAAAAAAAAAGTCTTAAGCCTGGTCTTAAAAGCAAAAAACTGGAAGAAAGCTCTGTCTCCCATTCTGCTTTTAGAAACTCTATGAACCACGAGTGAACCTGCAGKCTCAGTGCGAAGTTCACTGTTAGGAAAATATGGAMCAAAAAGATCTCTGAGGTTGTTGAGAGCTTTAAAAACATTTTTAGTTATTAATAACAGCTTGTTTTTGCTTTTTCTTAGTAACCAGTTGAAACATCTGAACACGCTGACAGAAGACCAAAGTTTTGCAGGAACTAATTTCATAGGAATGATCTATATGCGCTGTCAGGAAAGAGGTTGGTCCTGTGTTTTTACTGAAGAGAAGAGATGCGGCCCCTCTCATATCCCAGAGTAGGTGAACACCACAAGAAACCCGAACAGACTAATGCACTGAAAACTAACTGCAGTTTTAACAAAACTATAATCTAAACTTTTACCCTAATGCAGATTTTTCTACAAAGTTGTGATCAAYGACAAAGAATACCCAGTTGGTAAGGGTCGGAGTATCAAGGAGGCCAAACAGAAGGCAGCTAAGTTGGCCTGGTCTGAACTTAATCATCAGTCTGACTTAAACAAAAAGGTATTTAAGATTTTTAATGTTTTTGATGACTCTGCATTCAGGGAAGTCATGATTTTGATTACTGACTCACTTCTGTTGTGGTTGCAGGTTGTGTCTGATGAAGGTGCAGAAGCCAAAAATTCTCCAACAAGTTTAAAGTGAGCTTCTGAACGAGCCTAATAACACACTGTTGAATTTAACATTGATTAACGCCACTAATAATGTCTTATTTTGTATTTTTAAGGGACTCTGGTCAAATAAAATCAAACAGTTTGACACCAAGTGCAAGTGATTCCATTGTTTTCATGGATCCATCTCCCATCATTCAGGTCTAATATTATTTTTTATGTATATCAAGTCATTCTGAGCTGCTTGTCTCCTGTGTTTTTTTATTTTTTATATTTGCTCTTAAGAAATTACAGCTTCTGCCGTTTAAGTAATTTAAGCTTAAAAATATATTATTTCTCTGCTTCTTTACTCAGATTCAAAGTCCAGATGTGAAACCCAAAATAAAGTAAGTGTTATTTTACTGTAAACTTGAACAAAATGTCATCAAACAGTATTGATGATTATCTTTTTCTTGTTAGAATTGCAGCAAATTTCCACAATGTTTGTAATAAGAGTAAAGAGGTAAAGTTAAATAATAGTTTTGCCAGTTTWTTTCATTTGTTGTTTTAAATTTTAACAGCTTTTGTTGTGATTTTTAAGGATTTGATCAATTTTAAACTGAAGGACAAAGGAAACAGTCAGAGAACAAAAACACCAACTCAACCGGTGTCCAGGTATGGAAATTTAAGATATTGAAATTACTACCRTTCAAAAACCTAACAATAAAAAAGTATAATTTAACCATTTTTTGGAGGGGTTAACAATCCTATTCTTATTAGTTTCAGCAGGTTTACGTTGGATTATGACTCCATTCAAAGCCTCGACAAAGGAGCCTTTGGACGTGTTTTCAAGGCGAAACATAAACTGGAGAACAAGTTTTATGCAGTGAAGATTGTACGCTACAAAGAGTAAGTCAAGTGTTACATTTTATTTACAGTCACTGAGTGGTGGAAAGGTGATTGACCATGGCTGCAATATCAGATCAAACAGATAATGAGTCTGTAGATCACCATATTGTTGATTCCATGTGGTATTTTGGTCCAGAACAGAGTACTGGTAGGAATTGTTTGACAAGTTAGCCCAAAGCTGCTAAAACTGGTCCCCAAAATCCAGCAAGATGATTCCACTGGTGTYTAKTTAAAACTGATTGGAAGATTTGCGACCTGTCCAGGGTGTACCCCACCACTCGYACAGTGACTGCTGGATATGGGCACCAGTGACCCTGAAAGTAGGAAGTGGGTAGTGGGTGGATGGATGGATGATTGGAAGACCTCAACACATTGTAGGCAACCTGGCGTTGTTTTGTTGACAGACTGTCCCAGAAGACRTTTAGAAACTGACGCTGAGCCATCAGGGTCCCCTAACTCACTACCAGAGGTGACCAGACCCTGAGGTTCCTCATGCTCTGGCTAGAACARTTAATTGGCGGACCAATATTAATTTGTAGATATYGTCAACTTAAGTTTGAACTGTAATCAGCTTTCTGTAGCRTTTTCTGTACATGTATTCTGGTCAAAACCTAACATGACCTCTTGGTGTGGGGTAGGTTGACCTCTACCCWACACCATGATTATGTTGCTCCATAGCATTGGCCTGATTTGGTCCCCTCCCATTGATACCTCCATACGTAGAATGTAAAATTGAGATTCATAACTAAACATGTCACAACACCGCTTGTCTTTGGTCCAATCCTTCTGACTATGGCATCACATCACTTCAAATGCAACACAGGCAATGGTGAATCTGTACCGTACRGTTAACCGTGATGCCACAATCCTGCACGATTTAGTTGTTTCTCTGTTCTTCRACAGGTCTTCAAGTTCTGTAGATGTGTGTTAATCACTTWTTCCTTAAAATCAGGTGTGAGAGACATCTAAAGCATGCTGGATATTGGCCCTCATTGGCCCAGGATTGGGTACTACTGGTGTAGACCAATTCTCAATTTTTTTTCAGCGATGCACCACTTGTAATATGMGTACCTCCTAGAGCAGATGATTCCAGTCTAATTCACGGTGCTGTTTCTGTTGACATTAACTTAAACATTTTCCTTTTTAAAACAATTTATTGTTCTTTTTTGGGTCAGAAAAACCCTACAGGAGGTGAAAGTCTTGTCAGACCTCAACCACTGCAACATCGTTCGGTACCACTCATGTTGGATAGAGGACACGACTTATCAGTGGGACGGTTCATCCGATGCCAGCAGTGCTTCACAGTAAGTCCGGCGCCTCCTCTGGTCTTCTTATCAAGCAAACATGTTTGTTTCACTGTTCAGTTGATTGTTGACTCTTAGGTCTTCCACTGACTTTGCCGTGAAGTACCTCTACATTCAAATGGAGCTGTGTGACATTAAAACACTGAGAGTGTGGATAGACGAGAAGAACATTCAGAACCCGAAGAAATCTTTGCGGGACTCCAAGAGGAGAGAAGACGGTCTATCCATTGCCCTGCAAATAATCATCGGAGTCGAATACATTCACTCCATGAACCTCATCCACAGAGACTTGAAGGTGAGAAAGAGACAAGTTCATGCTGGAACCGAAACCCAGCTGAAATAAATAGAGTAATATTTAAAACCTGAGCTTTTACATAGTCTTCAGGGTGAGTCAAAAGATTCAGGACAAGCTTTTATTTCAAAAACGAAAGGGTAAATTAAATATCTGAATACCACAGCTAAGAGTGGGTGACGGTAACCATCTTTTAGGCTATGTCCGGAACATGGCTGCCATTTTGAAAGCCGCCATATTGGATCAAAGTCTAGTTTTTCCAATGGGAAGAGGGTCCTATAGACAAGAGTGTCAAAGAAACCCAGGATTCTCTCAGAACTGAATTACTGCGATCAAATGTGCAGTATCTCTTATGGTTCAAATGTTATCAACACAGAAATCTCAAAACTTATGTTGTTTGTCACAGTGTGTGTTCAGCACCAGGGACAGCATGTTGAGCATGTCTAAYAGCTGCACATCACAGGGAACGTTTCCAGTTGTTGTTGCAAGAGGTGTTGCTTATTTGATTACAATCGATTTGTGACCACTTTACCATTGGAAAAACTTGCCCTTGATCCAATATGGTGGCYTTCAAGATGGCGACCATGTTCTGGACATAGCCTAAAAGATAGACTTCCCTTTCTGGGGTATTCAAATGTTTAATTTCCCCACTTGTTTCAGAAATAAAAGGGTGTCCTGAGGCTTCTGGCTCACCTTGTACTTCAGTACTTTTATAGCTATACAGTATGTGAGAAACGAGTGACATTTTTACAACACTAAACTGTATTTAGTTTTTTTTTTTCTGTGTCATATGATTAGCCTGCGAACATCATGTTCAGTCGAACCGGCACAGTGAAGATCGGAGACTTCGGTCTGGTGACTCCTGTGATCAACGACGACTCAGAGAACCAGAGGGAGAGAAGAGGCTACAAGGGAACCCCGTCTTACATGGCTCCTGAGCAGGTGAGATCAGATTCTAACATCAGATGTTCTTCTAGAAGGAAAAGGATCTCTCTTAATCTAGTTTTATTTGTCGTTTTTTACAGAGGAACGGGATCCTTTATGACCGGAAAGTGGACATTTTTGCTTTGGGGCTGATATATTTCGAACTTTTCTGGAACATCCCGACTATTCATGAGAAGAACAATGTAGGTTAATCACAACCTCGTTAAGAAGTTGGAAACTCAAAGTCCTTAAAAAGCACATTAGAGGGGATGAAGGAAATTTATTTGGAATTGGAATTTGTTTTTAAAAACACAGACAGGGTTGGATGTTTTTAAGTTGACTAAATTTCTATTTCTTACAAAACCTGTTGATATTATTATGCTGGGATGTAAAAAAAATCTAATTTGTAAACATTTTTTCTGTTTCATTTTACTACTGTGGTACAGATGTGGGACGATGTCAGAAATCAGAAGCTTCCGCTGGTATTTTGTCAACATTTTATTGAAGAGGTACAAAATATTTTTATTTCATAATTTTCAGGATTGTATTTTATTTAGAGCTGATATTAACTTTTCATTTTAGCTTTTGTTTTTTTTAAATAAGCACACATAACATTTTAAACTAAAATCTAAACAGATCAGTTAGMACTCAGAGTACGTGTTGGGAATGACTCTCAGCTACTGCCACACCAAGTATTACCTCAATATCTGTAAAATTGGTTGAGGTGTAGCCATTTTTKCAKTTGCTAAGATTGCTAAGCTGTGGCTGCATCAGTAACACTTATAGTATAAATAAAGAAATGCCAATTCAGACAGATTTATATTAACATGTACATTACTGTTGATGTTTGCATTAAAACGTTAAATATCAACTGTTTTATTCTTGCTCTATGGAAATTGTAGAAATTTTGTGTTTTGATTTTGTTTCAGAGCCAAATCATAAAATCGATGCTGTGCTTCAAACCAGAAGAGCGACCAGAAGCCTCCAAAATAAAATCGGACTTGGAAGAGCACAAACGTTCACTTGAGGCCCTTAAAATGCTGCAGCGAGACCGTCAGACGGTCTGAAAACTTCAAGAAAACAACCTGAAAAAGTCGAGTTTATTAACTTAAAATCACATTCTTCTGTGAAACCAGTATCAGGATCTGCTGGAACAAAATGTCACGATTATGTTTTATGTGAGGTACTGGAAGAGAGCGCAAAACTTCATTAATTTTATCAAGAGTAGCAACAAAATGTTGCTTTTTAATTAATACTCGTGTTTTGGAGTAAAATCTATCAGCAGGTACTGGAAATATGAATGTTTTTAATTATGACAGGACGCCACATCATCGCTAATTTTAACACTWAAAAATAAAATAATGAATTTGCAGTATTGTTTTTGGTCAATGTATCTTTTGGTCATTGGATTTTCATTTTTGAAATGGGTATTAAAAAACAAGAAATGAGTGGATATTTGATTTTTGTTTTAAAATCCTGACATTAAAATTAAACTACAAAGCCTTTCTCATTCTTAGTGTCGAAAGGGGATAAACAAAATGTTAAAAATGATTTAAGTTTCATTTTCTGTTTCAGATAGCAAAAAAGAAAATTACTTGAAGACAGAAACGGAAAAAGGCTTGTTTATTTGTATTCTATGACTATTTATTCCCCCACCAGAAGGGGCGCTGGCCTGACAGCTCTGCAYAATGGAACACTAATTTCTGTAAATAAGAGGCTGAAACACAGAGAAGTATGTCCATAAATGAGTTGTATGATGACTGTTGCTCAGTGACCAAAGGCTTGCAGAGGTAATTCATGTGGTTTTTGGCCAAATAAGTCTCTTTTACTGAATACATGTCGGCTACTGCCTCCATGTTTCATCTCCATTTTTCTAAATAAAAAGCAAAATAAGATGCATTTCATTCTATTAGTGTGTTGTACAGTTGTTCTGTGCACAAAGGTTTTTTTTTCCTCCTGAGTTTTGACAAAATCTGTGCTTTTTTCTGTCAGTTCGCGTCCTCTGAGTTTTCCTTTCAGCGAAGGGTGGGCGGTACTACGACTTTGAAATCGATCTGATACCAAACAAATACTCGGCAGATTTATTTGATACCGAAGTCAACA